GTCAAGCTTTTAATAGGGAGTGCCACACAAAGTGCACTAATCAAACAGGTGGTAAGAAAGTAGGGGAACTCAGGCACCACACAAGTTATGTAGAAAGTAAACACAGGATCAGTTATAAAAGACTCAAATGTCTATACACCAACGGACAGAATATGAGCAATAAACAGGGTGAACTAGAAATTCAGGTAAATGAGGGCAAATATGATATTGTCGCCATTACGGAAACTTGGTGGATGAAACCCACACATGGAACACACAGCCAGATGGATTTAAATTATTTTAAGAAAACAAACCAAATAGAAGAGGTGGAGTTGCTCTCTATATAAGAAATAACTGCATTTCTACAGAAATAGAGCACAACAATGATGAAAACTGTCTTGAATGCATTATAAATATAAAAAGAGGGGAAATGATATTGCCATAGGTGTATACTATAGGCCACCCAACAAACAGAGGAAATGAATGAACTTTTTGCTAGTCAGCTAACTAAGCTATGTAGGAAGCACATCACAATAGTAATGGGGGACTTAAAATTACCCTGACATCAATTGGAAGACAAACTCTGCACCAAGTGGAAGATCAAACAGATTCTTGACAAACCTAGCTGACAACTTTGTCTCCCAAAAAGGAGAGAAGGGAAGTATGGGATTAGCCATATTGGACCTAATTCTCACTAACAGAGATGAAATGATAGAAGGGGTTGAAGCCACAGGAACCTGGGGGGGGGGAGTGATCATGAAATATTGGAATTCAACATTATGCAAGCACAAGCAATAGAACAGAGTTAAACTAAAATCATGGACTTTAAGAGAGTAATTTCAATAAGCTTAGAGACAGCTTGAGAAGGATTCCATGGATGAGAATCCTCAAGGGCAGGGGTAGGCAACCTTGGCTCGCACATGCGTGGTGCCGCCCCCTGCGCTGGCCGAGGCGTAGCTGGCAAGCGGCAGAGACGGCGCAGGCCGACCACCGGCTGGGCCACCAGCTGGCCCAGCCCAAGGGAGGTAAGGCACCCACCGGGCCCCATGCGCGCCAGCAATCCTCCCTGCGCCCACCAGCCTCCCACCTCCCACCCCTGGCCCTCTTTTACTTATATTTTTAGTAGTTGCTCGGCAGGGAGGGGTGGAAGCTTCCAGACAGCTCGCCTTTGCTGCAGACAACTTGCAGCACCGTTTGCAGAATGGGACTTTTGGTGGGCTCAGCAGGGCAGAAACAGCCTGGACAATTCCTATTGGCTTTTGAAAGCCAATAGAATTAGACTCTATTCAAGAGAGTCTATTCTATTGGCTTTCAAAAGCCAATAGAATAAAAGGGAGTAGCGCAGCTAAGGAAAAGGGGAAAAAAATGGCAGACTGCGTTGTTTGGCGATCCCCGTGAAATAGTCGTTCAACCCCAAATGGGGTCTGACCCACAGGTTGAGAACCATTGATCTATAGAATGCGTAACATGGAAAATGACACTTGTAATTGCTACAGTGCAGCTCAACAGATTCTAAAAACAGTGCTGTAATAGAAAGGAATTTTATATTATCTATCCAGACAGAATAAAAAAAGACTCCACCTTTATTTCTGTAGCATACTGTCCTTTTCCTTCCTCTAATACCAAACCCAACTTGAAATAGAGTAGCACAAATTGCATGCTATCTTCAGTAGAACAGAATTGACAGCATTAGGTAGTCTGCTCTTATAAGCTAGGTTGCGCTTCAAAATTTCACCAGTCATACATTAGACTAGCTTACAAGGGACAGAATAATTTTATCTTACAGGAAATAGTTTTTCATTTATTTGTCTTTTCCTATATGCAATTCATATGACTCATTTGAAAATGCCCTGACTCCATTGTTGGGAAATAGTACAATATGCTTACTTTGAAAAACCGTTTTCTGCAAAAGAAGTGGAGCACTCAGTCATAAAAAACACACCTACACAGTGTGCACAATTATTAGGCGAGTTGTATTTTGGAGGATTAATTTTCTTATTGAACAACTACAATACTCTTGGTCAATCCAAAATGTTAATAAACTTCAAACCTGAATAGTTAAAGTAAAAGTGAGGTTTTGGTTTTCTTAGAAGAAGATGTGTGCATAATTATTGGGCAACTATTGGTGTGGAGAATTATTGTGTAACTAAGTGAAAAATGAAAATTTGCCCATTTTATTTATTTACATCTTTTAAAGTGAGAATAATTAACAACACAAAATGTACAAATAAACATTTCTGAGATTTTACAAAAAATCAGTGACCAATATAGTCACCCTGTATTGTTTTCTGTTTCAATAACAGTCATAAGCCTTCCATTCATGGAGTCTGTCAGTTTGTTTGATCTGTTGATCAATGTTTTGTGCAGCAGCAGCCACAGCCTCCCAGACCTGTTTAGAAAGGTGTACTGTTCCTTCACTGTAAATCTTCCGTATAAGAAGAGAGCACGTTCTCAATAGGGTTTAGGACAGGTGAGGAAAAGGGTCATGTCATTCTTTCATCTTTAAGGTTTTTACTGGCTAGCCATGCAATGGAGTACTTTGATGCATGTGATGGAGCATTGTCCTGCATAAAAATCATGGTCTTGAAATATGCAGACTTTTTCCTGTACCGCTGCTTGAAGAAAGTGTCTTCTAAAAACTGGCAGTAGATTTGGGAGTTGATTTTGAGTCCATCTTCAACCCCAAAAGGTCCCCCTAGCTTGTCTTTAATAATACCAGCCCATACCAGTACCCCACCTCCATCTTGCTGGCATCTGAGTCGAAGTGGACCTTTATGTCCATTACTGATCTAGCCACGGCCCCATCCATCTGATCTGTCAAGAATCATTCTCATCAGTCCAATAACATCTTTGAAAAAAATCTGTCTTCAGATATTTATTGGCCCAGTCTTGCCATTTCAACTTATCTGTCTTGTTCAGTAGTGGTTGGATTTCAGCCTTCCTTACCTTGGCCATGTCTCTGAGCACTGAACACCTTGTACGAGGGCAATTCAGAAATAAACCTCCATTTGGTTATCAATGATAGACACTTGCAGATAAAGAACTTTTATTATACACATTAGAAAACTACAACATTACATTACTTTTTGACATAATTGCCATTCAAATTGAGGCAATTGTCATAATGTCTTACAAGTTTTGAAATTCCTTAGTAGTAGTCACACTACATGGGAGTCAGCATGCCCTGACGCTTGTTATGGATGGCTTGTCTGAGTTTTCATAACTTTTCACAGTAGACTTCTGAATTGATGGTTGAACCACTCTCATGAACTTCATTAGTAGTACTCCTTTAGCATCTTCACATTTGGCAGGATTTTCTTTGGCACCACTTCTGGTGTGGTGTTGGTTCATGATAATGCTTGCCCGCACACCGCTAGACACACCCAAGAACTTTTGAAGCAGTTCTGTTGGGATGTTTTTGATCACCCCCCATAGCCCATATTTGGCACTGAGCGACTACTAAGAAATTTCAAACCTTGTAAGACGTTATGACAAGTGCCTCAGTTTGAATAGTGAGTATGTCAAAAAGTAATATAATGTTGTAATTTTCTAATGTGTATAATAAAAGTTCTCTTATCTGCGTGTTTTATTTCCAAATTGCCCTCGTACTTTTGGGCAGTCCAGGTAGGTTGTAATTCTGGAATATGACAGCACTGCCAAATCTTTGGCAGTTAATATGTGTCTTTTTTTCTCAACATGTTTCTTGTGACCCTGTTGACTATTTGCAACAAAAAAATGATGGTTCTGTGATCATGCACCAATATCTTAGCAATTTCAAGAGTGCTGCATCTCTCTGAAAGACTTTTTACAATTTTTGACTTTTCAGAGTCAGTTTTATATATATATATTTGGCCCATTTTGCCTGAGGAAAAGAAGCTGCCTAATAATTATATGGACCTTGATATAGGGTGTTGATCTCCTTAGGCCACACCCTCCCTCTTTATACAAATACACATCACCTGATATGCTTATATCCAATAAGCATTCAAGTTTACACAACTTGGAGGTGGAAAATAATCATGAAAATGACAATATGGTGAAAATACTTGCCTAATAATTATGCACACAATGTACAGTCAATGTATATAATTTACCACTTTTACTTTTCTCAAGTTTTTTTGTTTTTTAACTTCTTTTTCTGGATCATTCTGAAACTAAAGAAAGAGGCTATTACCTCCCAGAGAACATAGGATTTAGGATTGGAAAAAAAAATTAAAACCCTACCTTCAAAGAAAGTAGGGGAAAAATATCCTATTTGCTGTGTGGAAATTAGATCTTCATTGTAAATCCAGGGTACAGGTAGTCCTCTGTTAACAATTGCAATTGGGATTGGAATTGCTATCAGTAAATAATATAGTCAGAAAGCACAGCTTCACATGACTGTTACTTAGCAACAGCAATTCCAACAGCCCTGGTTGGCATTACTAAGCAAATCACAATATTTAAGGATGCCATGTGGCTACCATTTTTTACTTTCTCCTGGCATCCCCATTGACTTTGCTTATTGGAAACTGGTAAAAGAAGATTGCAGATGGCAAGCACATGACATTGGATGATGCAGTGTTGTAATTATGATCCACACACCTGGATTGCAATCAAATGATCTCAAAGATGCTGTGATGGCTGGAACTCCAAGGTTCAGTCATAAGTGGAACAGTTGCTGAGTGAGTGGTCATTAAGTGAGGACCTGTACTATTTTAGCCTTTCAGTTTTATTCTTTACTCATATTTGTTTTGGGTAGCATATTTTAAATAGTTAACAGGCAGAGATAGTCTGGAGCAAAATAGAATATTCTTACAGTACTACACATTGAACGTTTTATGCTAAGAAAGCACTATAATAGTTAGCTCAAAATGTTCAAAATCCAAGTAGTATCTGGTCTCCAACAAGGTTCCCAGCATTCATTTTATTCTCAGTAGGGGATCCTAATTTTATAAATTAAAAGATCTGGCAATGTCTTTCTGTAGACAGTTGAAAATAAATTTCCCATCATTAATGTGAATTATGTATTACTTTTGTAGGTGCCCAGCACAGAAACATGCAACCTTTTAGTGATGAAGATGCATCAGTTGAAACTATGAGCCACTGCAGTGGCTTCAGTGATCCTGCCAGCTTCAATGAAGATGGTATGTGAGCATTTGGGCCTATATGAAAAAAATGCTTTTGATAATATAGCCTCCCTTTGGAGATAGTTTGGATGGGGAATGTAATACATCATTTTAAGTCAACTCATAAACAAAAGAATGATTTGCAAAGTATAAGGGCTGTTTGCAGACTCCCTTGTGCATTTACATCCTTTGATTCTTTTCCATTTCTGTGTGAACATCCTAGTGGGAGCTTGGAACTGTTTGAATTCTAGCAGACGCCGTAGGACTGCACAAGTGCAACAATATTTAGTGCAGCATAGCATGCCTTATTTGATACATATTTTATTGATTTTTTTAAAACTAACAACCTGGTGCTTAGTAAACAGCATGTTTTCTGGGTTCGCATTTCACAGCAATCAATAATAGTCAATTTTTATCATATCATACTCTACGTAACAGCTTTCCTTGATTTTCTTTTCTTCCCATATTGTTCTCTTTTGCAAACATTAGGTTAATACAGTTCTTAGTATTTTAGTAACAAAGAGGTTAAATATAAACATTTTTCTAACATTTATCCAATTAGTAATAGCATCAATATAGAACTACTTTTCTAGTTAGTCCTCTTGGTTGTGTTATATGTCCTGTTTTCAACATCCTCATTTAGACTTTTTCACCACAAAATTGAAATCATTTTTATCTGTTAAGATTTTCTCAAAGTTGATTTACAGTTAAATATCTAAGCTGTTTCCCTCACAATATCCTCCCAACAATTACATTTCTCATATCATTAAAAAAAAATACAATACTACTCAGAATAAGAAAGAAGAAAAAGAAAAACATAATCTCTCAAACTAAAATTCATTTATATCCCCCATTTTTCATTTTTAACTCTATTCCATTCAATATTTACTAATTAAGTAATCCATGTTATATTTTAACCATATTCAAACAAATACATAAACTTTAAAAATTGCATCTGATAAGACAGTTTTTTTCACATATTATGTGATTTTAGTATTTTTCTTTTGCCAAACGGCTTTTCTCATCCATCTATTCCACTTAGTTTAAAAATCCTGCCATTTTCTTGTGGATATTATTAAGGATGGGGGAGACAAATCAGATAAGATGTTAATTTCTTTTATCTTTTTTGTCTCTCAAGTTGTAGATTTTTTTGTATCTTTGTAATCCATTTTGTCAGGTTTTTCTTCTTATATTCGGCTTTGTTTTATGATTCTGGGGTGTAGATTATCTCTTCCAGTTCGGCTGCTTCAGTCATGTCTTGAGTGTTTTCTTCCATGTGCATTAAATCACAATCCCTTCCATTGGTAGATTCTTTCATTTTCTGAAAAGTCTTATGTTGTGAGGTTAACGTAAAGATATGTCATCAAAGTTGTTTTTAATTTCATTGTGGTTTAGAGCCATTATTGTTTGGATTAGTTGCAACATAGTGGACATTTCCTCCTGGAAAGTATTTGGTTTCTCTTGACAAATCTTTTTTCAAGCTCTTGAGATTCCATGAAGGCTAGAATTCAATTTTTTTTCTTTCTCTGAAAAGTTTTAAAGTCACAGTCAGTAGGTATTTATTATCCAGGAAGGTCAGTTATGTTTTTTCAATTATAATCTTTGCTTATTGTGGCTGGCCCAGAATGTTTTGTTTAGCTCTTTTTAAAGATCAAAGAAGTAGGTTATCTCATTCTGGGCGTCTTGCCAATACTTATAAGAAAACAGCTAAGGTTATATATTCTCTTCCTCCACTAGATGTCAGCAACAGTATGTTTTTTGTCCCCCTTAATAGTTTAATTCACTGCTTCCTTTCATGGGAGGGTGGAGCAAAGCTCCCCTTCCTTTTCACTTTCGGAGGTTTTTTTGCTTCTTCAGGTATCTTTTCCAAATGTTCATGATATAGAGTAGGGGAGAGAAGATCAAATTTCTCACCCAGTTTCAGCACGCAGTTCACCGATGTTCTGGTGAGTACGTGTGGACTTTGGCTGCAAGTAGCTTGGGCTGGTTACCAAGATGGGGCCAGCCTTTCTCCTGTCGGGTTAGAGGGAATTTCCCAATTGAACAGGACAACCACCATTGTTCCCGAATCTCTGGGGCGCCCCTCTTTCTTTGCTGTCTCTTTGGGGCGGCTTTAGATCCATTTAGGGTCCCCTGGCAGGGTGAAAAGAGCCACGGGAAGCAGAGCTTTTGCAATCCTGTGACTGTGCACCCCCGGGCAAAACCGGAAGTCCAGCATAGCATGCATTTTGGCTCCTCCGCTGATTATTTTGTGCAATGTTTGGAATGTTTTGTAATCTGGCCTTGGAAGGCTGTTCAGGAAACTCTGGACCCGAAGGGAGAAAGTTGGGTGAGAGTCAGGTGAATATGTTGGTCCGTCTCCCCTGGGTGAGACTGTGGGGGGAGAAGGAATGGCTCCTGCTTGGTGGGTGACAGCAACTGGGCAGGGTGCTGTTTGTGCATTGAGTGAATATATTATGAGTGGATTGGGGGATAAAGGCATGCTGGAGGTGGTCCCTATGCAGCAGTGAGGAAGGGGTGGTGTGAGTTTGAGGTCGCTGAGAGCAAGTTCCTGTTGGGCTCACCCTGCCCCTGACTTCCTCAATTGGAGAAGGTTCCTTTTTTTAAAGGAAGAATTGAGAAGTAAGGATAAAATGGTTTGTAGGGAAGGCAGAGGAGGGCGGTCTATTTCAGTGGTGTAGGGTAACAGGAGATACGGGAGGCAAGGGGGCATTCATGGGGAATGTGACCTTGGTGTTTAGTACCGATTTTGTGTTTTGCCTTCCTATACTCATCTCATTCAGCACATCTGTGGTGGCCCTGGACTGCTGTTGCTTTTAAATGTCAGATCAGCCTGTAATAAGGGTAGCCTTATTGCTGATTTGATCCTTGAAGAGAAGGCTGATCTGGCTTATATAACCGAGACCTCACTGGGCCCAGAGGGAAGTGTTCCTCTGTTAGAAATACACCCAGTAGGTTATCAAGCATGGCACCAGCCTAGACCTTAGGACTGGGGAGGGGATGTGGCTGTTGTTATCAGAGAATCTCTGGCAGCCTCCAGGGGCACAGCTCCACAAGTGCCTGGCTGTGAGACCCTTTTTCTTAGGTTGGGCTCAAGGGATCAGGTGGGGTTGCTGCTGCTGTACCAGCCTTCCTGCTGTGTGGCAGCTTCCCTACTCGGGCTCTTGAACCTCATTGCAGGGCTGGCAGTGGAATTTCTCAGACTTATAGTTCTGGGGACTTCAGTCTGCCATCGCTGGGGTTGGGGTTGGAGATAGCCCGAGATTTCATGGAAACCAGGATTTCCATGAGCCTGTCCCAGGAATAGTGGTCACACACCCAATTTGATGTTCTTGTCGGAACAGAGCCTATGTGACTTGGAATTGGAGGACTTGTCTTTGGTCCTCCTGTCATGATCAGATTACAGTCTAGTGGCAATGAGTTTCTCGTGAACTGTACCCCCCTCCCACAGGAAAGTAGGACCTATTAGATTGGTCCATTCCCATTGACTACTGTACCCAGATAGGTTCCATAAGGAACTAGGGGTTATAACTGCAGATCTGCTACGTAGTCACTGTTAAGGAATAGTCAGTCACTGTTTGGAATAGTAAGGTAACTGAGGCTCTGGATGGGATTGTGCCCATGCGACCTTTCCTCACCCATAGACCTCTCTACCCTCCATGGTATACAGAGGAATTGAAAGGGATGAAACAAATGAAGATACGTCTAGAAAGCACCGCTGGCAGAAGACAAGGGATGAACTTGATTGAACATTGGTAAGAGCTGTTATTGAGGCCTACCTCGTGGTGATTTGTGCGAAATGTGGTAGTCCAAATAGTCAATTTTGTTCTTATGAAATTTATACTTTGAAAGTTTGGCATATAGTTTGGCGGAGCAGAGTTTAAGACTGCTCTAACCAGCTTCACATGCTCTGCCTTGGTCTTGATGTAGATCAAGATATTGTCCAAGTACACCAAAACCCCCTTATAGAAGTCCTCTATATTCATAGAGGACTTCATTAATCAGTTGCATGAACACTGCTGGTGCCCCCTGTAGTCCAAAGGGGAGCACCCTGAACTAGAAACACTCCACTCTCGCTCCAAGCCCTCTACTTCATAATCACGCATACCCTGGGGAGGTATTCTCTTCTTTGGAAACTTTAATCCCCCTCTCTCCAGTTGATTAGGAGGATCCACTTTTTTAACCAGGTCAATTTCAAAACCAGAGGCCATTCCATACCGAGAGCCACAATGAAGGTTAAAGTCTGAGTGGCCTCCCATGGTTAGTCCCAGGGGCTTAGGGGCAAAGCTGGCTGGGATACCCCCTGCCCCTGACATATCAAGCTGGCAAAAAGTGATTGGGTCTTTGAGTCTCCTTAGATGAACCCACAGTTTCCCAAGCAGGTTTGGGCTTATTTGCACCAGATGCACCCTGAGTCCAACAATGCCGGCATAGCGGTCCGTTTTCTTGGCTGTAGCTTTCTATAATATGTCCTTCCTTGCCACACTTGAAGTAGGCGGTTGATCGCGGCTGGCTTGTGGAGGGTCTGCTAGCTTCTCCCCATCTTTCAGGTTGACCTCGTTTTCCTGGCTTACTGGGATAGTACTGGTTTGGGGTCTGGTCAATTTCTACTTCTTTGGCCACAATGCAGCATCACATAGGCATGCAGGAGCTCTACGGGCCACACAAGCATTGTACAGATTGTTATTTAGCCTGTCCTGGAAGCAGCTTACCAGGATGTCTTCAAGACAGTTGAGGCGGCGTGCTAATTTGCAGAACTCCTCCGTATATTCAGCCACTGGTTGACGCCCTTTTTTCACTGTTTTTATGTGATCCCAGGCCTTCCGGTCTGCCAGGTGATCTTCGAACTGGCGCCTCAGTGCTGTCATGAACTGGTTAAAGTTCCCAAGCTTGGGAGCATCACAGTTATGTAGGGTCACCATCCGCCTGGTGGCGGCCCCTTCCAGGGCTAAGGTGATGACTAATCTTGGCTGCATATTGGATGGGGTCCTCTCATACACTTGCATGTAGGTGAGAACGTGAACCAAAAAGAACTCCAACTGTCAAACTTCTTTCCCAGTGGAATCAACTTTGGCTCGTCTGGGGGAGTCCTATCTCTGGGCTGTCATGGGGTCTGGGCTCTCTGGGGAACTGCACGCTACTGCACTGCTGCAGTAGCTGCCGCAGTCTCCATTGAGCCCATCGTCCTCCCTGCTATCTTGGTAACTGCAATTTCTCCTTCTCCGTGCTCGACGTCCTCCTTTAATTCTTCCTCCATTTCTGGGCACCCCAGGGATTTAGCTTTTAGGTCCTTGAAAGCCTCCACCATGTACTGCATGGCTTGCTTCAGGATCCCTTCCATCTGGTCTGACTGCTTGTCCACCATCGGAAAGCAGCTCGTAACTTTTTCTTCCAAGTCTTTTTCCGACCCCCATAAGTGAAGGTTATCTTTTGGGCCCTTTGTTCCCAGTCCTCCTCCATCTTGACACCGAGTGACCATCTTGGTTTTGTGGTGTCTTCCAGGGCAGCGGCTTTCTCCAGCCAACCGGAGGTGCCTTCTGACTCACTCCAATCCTTGGTCCCGGCTTCTTTCATCTCGCTGTCATGCAGAGACATATGCATGGCCCCCCATAGTAGGGCAGATGCCTCTCCGGATTGGGCACTATTGCAGACCTTGCTTTATGTAAGGATCTACCTCAACTAGATCTCCCAAAGAAGCAGAACTTTCAAAAGGAAAGCATTGTTTCAAAAGGAACTTTTATTGAGAGTTAGTGATGGCAGGAAGGCAAAGCAAAGTCTGAGGATTTTGCGTGCAAAAGGTTACATCAAAATGCCTATTCCGGTCTCCTACCCCCAGTGTCCAACTGTCCGTTTGAAATCCAGGCAATCCATAGGTACTAGGTTGTTTTGAGAACCTAGTTTTAGTGCCCTTTCCAAGGTCTCTCTAGATTTTGTTTCCCAACAGTCCCAGGCTCCGTCATCTGGAAATAAGACAGAGTTTTCAAGCCACATTCCTTTCACATAGAGGGAGGGCAAAGCAGAGCAAGGCAAATATATTTACCCAACCAACCAACCCTCCTTCCAACATAATGGCAGGCTCTGAAAAAAGAATTTATAGGCATAAGCAATAAACTGTAGGCAAATCTATTTGAGGGGTCCTGACAGACAGGATCCTAGGGAATATGCATGCAAGCACCTGTGTTTTAGATTCATGTCCATCCTGGCTTATGAAAACTTCCCAGGAGGTGAAAGGTGGGTGGACTCTGGAGGTGATTAATGCTTCCCTACAGAAGGAGGTAGTGCACTAGCACTTTAAGGAGGCTGTGGTCTGCCCTCTTCTCAAGAAGCCATCTCGGATTCCACCCTGTTGGATAATTTCCAACCTGTCTCCAATCTTTCCTTTTTGGAGAAGGTTGTTGAGAAGGTGGTTGTGTGATAGCTCCAGAGGTTTCTGGATGAAACGGATTATCTAAACCCCTATCAGGATTCAGGCCTGGATATGGGACAGAAACAGCATTGGTTGCACTTTTTGATGATCTCTGGCGGGAATAGGATGGGGTACTGCATCCATCCTTGCTCAACTTGATCTCTTGGCGGCTTTCAATATCATCGAGCATGATATTCTTTTGGAGTGGCTTTGGGAGTTGGGGCCTCTGTGCTATCCTAGTTCATTTCCTTCGTCTGTGGCCGCTCTCAGTCGGTATTAATAGGAGGGTTTTGCAGCGCTCAGTATTCTTTCCGCTCCGATTCAACATTTATGTGAAGCCATTGGGTGAGATTATCCATCACCATGGACTGAGATATCATCAATATGCTGATGATACTCAGCTGTATATCTTAGCCCATGGTGAATTAAGCAATGCTGTGACCTCCCTCTCGCAGTGCCTGGAGACTTTTAGGGGCTGGATGGGGAGCAATGGATTGAAACTGAACTCTGGCAAGACCGAGTGGCTCTGGGTTTGGGGTTCCTTGTCCCATGGAGAATTGCCACCTTTGGTCTTTGATGGGGTAGCACTGCCCCAAACAGACCCTATGCATAATCTGGGGGTACTCCTGTACTTGCGACTCCTGCTCAAAGAGCAGGTGGCAGTCATGGCCAGGAGGATTGCGCAACTGTAGATTCTGCACCACTCACACCCTTTCCTGGACCAACAATCCCTCCTCACAGTCACTCATGCCCTGGTCACCTCCTGTCTTGACTAATGCAACCTGATCTACATGGGGCTTACCCTGAAGAGCATCCAGAGCTCTAGTTGGTGCAAAATGCAGCAGCTTGCATGGCTTTGTAAAGACCTCGGTGTGTACATGTATCACTTCTCCTGCGGGAACTGCATTGGTTGCTGATTTGTTTTTGGGTGCAATTCAAGCTGCTGGTTGTCACCTTTGAAGCCTTTCATGCCTTGGTATCAGGTTATCTGAGGGACTGTCTCTTGCCGGTCACATCTATCTGACCCACTAGAATGGGGAGGCAAGAGCTGTTGCGGGTCCTATTCCCTAAGGGGGATCCAGAAGAAGGACCTTCTCTCTGGTGGCTCCCTCTCTCTGGAACATCATCCTCCCAGAGATTAGACTGACTCCACTCTAATATTCTTTCAGAAGGCACTGAAGACGTGGTTCTGCCAGCGGGCCTGGGAAACCCAGAGTGGGATGGAGCCCATTAAATGTGTAGTATGAATATGTTGTTGTTGCTGTGTGTGTGGGTGTGTGTGTGTGTTATTTTATTATTTTTATTTCTTTTATATGGTGTTTTTATATTCATGTGAGCCGCCTTCAGTTGTCGTGTGCGAGTAGGTGGCATTATAAATTTTCTAAATAAAATAAAATAAAAAATAAATCTTTCATCCCAGACCCATCAAATCTGAATTTGAGAATGAGAGGATATCTGTTTTCACTTCATTGTTACAAAATTGAAAACTCTTTCAGTTCTACTACTGAAAATATGAAAATATTGGCAGAGGAATATTGTAGAGCAAAGAGACATTTCTGAAACATTTGCAGAAATAAATGTTGAATCTAGAGAATGAGATAAATAACAGGTGGGTTAGAAGAGAGGCTTGCAGAATGTTCTTAATAAAACCTTTTCAAAATTATTTTACCAATCAGATTGAGAAATTTTATTGAAAGGGATTTTTTTAAATTTCAAAATGATAAAATGCTTTTATGCATATGTGCCCTGTATTAGGTTTGTGAAGAGCATTTTTATTTGTCTTTTATTTGGGACAGATAATTGGAAGGTAGCTAAAAGAGAATCATTTGCAACTGCTGCCTGAATGCAAATGGAGCACTTTGGAAAAAAATACTAAATCAAAATATTTTCCTTACCCAGTTTGAAAATAAAAAAATGTCAGAATACAGCTTTTTTTCAGGGAAGATGAAGCAACTAAATCAATTCTATTTTATGATGCAGTCATGCTAAGAAGTGTGTGTAGATATTCTGTTTTTTAAACAGTGAGAGAACATCCACAAATATGAATGACAGATTTAGCCTACATTGATTGCAGTTTATATTTTATTATATTCATTCTGCTTTTACAAAAATTAGGCATGTCTCATGTAATGATTAATCTGTTATTAATAGAACATAACACAAGATCTGATGAATAGAATTGGAGAAATGACAGATAGATTACACTCAGTTGAACCTAGTGATCAGTTTGGTATTGTAGTTATGCATAAGTTTAGATGTTAACATTCCATTTTCTAATGTTTTTTGTCATGTTACAGGACCTGAGGTTGATGACGAAGCAACCCAAGAGGATTTGGAATATAAACTGAAGGGGTTTATTGACTTGACTTTGGATAAGAGGTAGGGAAGTTCTGAGAAGTACGCTTGAGTAACTCTCTCTAATTTGTGGGTTTGAAGTCATGATAAAGTCCCTAAGGACTTTACTGCTGATGTGCAAGTTTATGATTTTTAGTTATTAACAAATATGTTTTATGCCATCATTTCTACCAGCAATTTTAATTATTAGTAGTGTTGTAAATGTGCCTAGTTTAAATTTAGACTTCACAGTTTGTTTACTGCTTTTCCCCCTTATTGTTTGTTGTTATTTTTCTCTTTGAAGTTTTCTAACAAAACTTGGGATTTCACTTTGGACTTATAAGAAAGGAAAAGGGCTGTGGGCACTTTACAAAAAAAATGTCTTTTAAAAATGCCTTTGATATTTTATAGTCACTATAGAACAGAGATTAAGCATTTGAGGCAGTTATCAAAACTGGGACAATTTGGGGAATTTTGATGAGCATTTTCCAAATCTTAACATTGCAAACTTTAGTTTTAACTTACTAATAGACAATCCATGATCTTTTTGGTCATTTCAGAGATATGTCCTTACCATATTTCTCAATGGCAGAGTGTAAAGACCTGCCCCAGGTAGTCTCTCAGGAAAGCAAAACTCTTGACTCCATTGAGTTGAATCAAAAAAACTTTTACTAAATGGTTGTAGAAAAGTTGGGCAGAATCTGAAGGTCCTGTGCAAAGCACAGACCCATTCTTCCGTTTCCCCAAACACAACGCTCTTGACCAGTCCACCAGCAGCAATGTGATGCTGCAAGGTTGTTTTGGGAACATTGAGATGCTGGGCAGATAAGAGGTCACTCTCAGGGCATGATGTCTTTGGAACCAGGCTGGAACTGGCTGGGAAGGAGTCTACTCCGTCTCTGAAGACAATCCCCCCCCCCAATTCCCAACAGTTACAGCAAAAGCGAAAGCATGCAAAAATACCAGCAAGCCTTCCTCCCTCCCCTTCAACAAAATGGCAGGACACCATGGTGGACCTGTAATGCTGCCCTCCTGAATAATGCCATTAGTCCTGTAGAACAGAACAAAATAAATAGGGAGAGAAAAAGGTAACGCGGGAAATTTCATTTGGGTTTATCAAAGTATTGATTGTGAAAGCACCTTAAAAGTCTAGGAGCCCTAACATGGCAGTGGTCCACCTACTCATTCTGAGCCTTTGGGAAATCCGTCCATGCTACTAAATATTAGAGGTTCCCCCTATGCTTGCGTGAATCTAAAATCTCTTGGGCCTCAAACTGTTGTTCCCCCTTGACCATTAATTGCTTGGGAAGCAGTTCCTGGGCCTGAGGGGGTAGGTAATTTCAGGTTTTAATAAGCTGCAATGGAATACAGGATGGACCCGCTGAAAGGACTTGGGCAAATCCAGCTCTAGTCAAAGGATTGATGTTATGTTTGATGGGGAAGGGTGCCACAAACTTGGGTACTAATTTCCTCGATGGTTGTAATGACTGTAGGTAATAAGTGGAGAGATAGACTCGATCACTAATACTGAATGGTTTGGGTTCCCCTCGCTTCTGGTTGGCTTAGGCTTTGTAAGCCTCCCATGCATCCACCGGGGATTTTCTCACCACAGGCCATATATTCCATAATTGAGAGACCCACTTCTTTAACAAGGGTGGCGGAGAGTTATTTAGGGGTCGTTTGAGCATTGGATTAAACTCCTGTCCTGTAGCCACTCTGAAAGGGATGAATCCTGGGAGCTATGCACAGAATTGTCATATGCTGCTTCTCCAGCATGACGAGTGGAGAATCCACTAATAGGTTAGCTTCATCTTCTGCCCAGATAGACTAAGTCAGCCAAGTTGCCACGCCTCCCTCCCTGGAGTAGGACCCCAGTCTCGACTTAGTCTCTCGCCTGAAAGGACACACAAACTTGGCTCTAGGACAGATCAGTAGATCAGGTTGTATTTAACTTTTTCTTACCTTTTACCTAAGGCGTGGGGTGGGAAACGAGCAGGCATTTGTTCGCCGCAGTTTCCAGCTGATTGGAGCGGACCGCAGGGTTCTGTTCAAGCCCCAGCTGATCCTCGGAGGGGAAACAAAGAACCAGTCGCCATTTTTGGCACCGCGTGGCTTCAGAGCGGGAGGGAGGAATCTCCCCCCAGGTGGAAAGAAGCCATTACTAGCCTCTGCGGTACAGCCGGACTGCTCGATATTGGCTCACCTCCCACCAGCTGTAGAGAGCGTTTTTCAGGTGGATGCCATTGCAAGCTTGTGGACACCTGTCAAAGCAAGAATATACAATATTTGAAGTGTTTCATTAGTCGGAACCATGACAACACCATTTTCAAGCCACGAAATTTAAAACGACCGGCTAGCCTGCTAGCCAGCTCGCTCAGATCCAGGCTGGACATCAATTGCCACCTGAGGCATAGCGCCAGTAAGCAGCAGCTGGCTCAGACTGGCACAAGATAGATGATTTCAACTTCTCTCTCCATTTGAATCAGGAACGGGATCAAGCCGGAGAGGTTCTGAACGGGGGGGGGGGAGGAAGGGGAAGTGCGTGTCGCCCCTCCTCAGCTACAAACCTTCCCAGTACAGGATAATACCATTCCCCCGTACCTGCTGAGTCACTCACAATCTGGCACAAGTTCAATTACCACACCTTTGAATTTAAAAAAAAAAAAGGAGGAGGAAGTGAGAAAGAAGAGGAAGAGTCACGGCAAACTGAGTGTCTGCCCAACAATTGTGTACGGGTCGTATCATTGATTTGATCTTACTACTAACAGCAGCACAACAGAGTGTTGGATTAAAAGAGCACAGAGGTGTGGCTGTACTACTTATTGGTCTTGCCACTTTGGACTGCTTCCAGTCATCACCAGGTTGCTCTGTGGCCTAAAACGACCTATCACCAGGCCTCTCACCTGAAGATTCCTCTCAGTTCCTACGCTGAGATATCTTTTGTGTCAATGGCAGACACCATTGCTGCTCAGGCAGCGCAGGACTCCTCTGTTAGTCCTCCTGGATATAAGAAGCCAAGATCATCCAATCAGGAAGCAGCGGGAAGGATTAAAGCCAAAGCAATATCGGGCAAAAGATCCTCCAAGGCCGCTGATAAGGAGGCCAAACGAAGACATCAGGCTCTGGAGAAACAGTTCTCTAGAGCCGAAAAGAGACAAAACACAGCAGGAGATGGACTAGTTCCCCCTGCTTAACGCAGAGGAGGAGATTTTTGGCCGCTGCAGTCTATTCAGGAACCTCTGGAAACAGAGGCCGAGGCAGAACAATCAGGATCCCTCCTAAGTGAGGGGCCTGAGAGTCTGGGGGCACCCGGTACAAACTCAGCAGAGGGACTTTGCCCCTCAGACAATCAGGGAGCCCTATCATCGGAACACTTACAATCCTAATATCCCAGGCTATCGTGCAGGCCATGGCCTCTACAAGGCATCATAGGTCCAGAACCGGATCGGTTGTCTCAAGGGGCTGATCCTTCCTTTCCCAAGAGGAAGCTACGGCATACCAGGGATCAGTTTTACCATCTCGTTCCTCCAGAAGCAGAAGGTCCCCATGGGGGAGTACGAGCAAATGGATCAGGGGCTGTCAGAGGATGAGGATATATTTCCAGACCCCCACCGTTCGTAGGCCTCTTCAATCCGACCTTCTTTATATCCCTGCTCCACAAGGCCAGCAGCACAGTAAAGTTTAAGAGGCCAAGGGTCCCCCAGGAGGGACCCTCTACATGTCAGGACACAAACAGCAGGGTGTTTTCGGAACTCACCTACACACAACAATATATCCCCTGCCCTCCCCTCTTCTTTAATACAATTCAGAAGAATTGGGGAGCACCAGGGTCCTTCACCTCAATGGGGGGGGGGATAGACAAGCTGTTCAACATTGATCCTGCCTTCCTTATCAGAGGTAATAGAGGTCCCAGCAGTAGATGAGCCACTGGCGGCTCTATTTTCATCAGCCATGGTATCCGGGGACACGGCAGAGGCCCTGAGGTCAGAGGACAAGAAGGCAGAACTAATTTTCCGCAGAACACATCAGGCCTCAGCATGGGTGATCAAAGCAGCAATAGCTAACTCCTTTTTTGCCAGGACTTTGTTGCTTTGGCTGCACCAACTCCAGGTCAGGATTTCCCCAGAGGAGGAGAGAACCCACCATGATTTAAGGAGGTTGGTGGTGGCAGCTGAATTCATGGCAGATTCATCATTGCACGCCGCCAACTACTGTGCCAGAGCAATAGCGTCCAACATCACAGCACGCAGATTACTGTGGCTCAGACAATGGCGAGCTGACATCAAGGCCAAGTGGCGGTTGGCCGTTGCGCCTTATAAGGGTGGCCTACTCTTCGGTGAGGCCCTAAACCCTTACCTAGTAGAAAACAAGAACAAATGCTGGGTCCTGGCGCACCTCTCAAGGAAGACTGAGAGGAGACTCTCTACCTACGCTCGCAGACAATCCTTCAGATCTGAAGCAGGCCCAGAGCTTCCTTCCTTTTCATGCCCCTTTCAGCCCAGATCAGACTGTCAAGTCGACAGATCCAGCAATGGGGACAGATATAGGCAACAATTCCAGTCGAAGTGGCCCTTTCGAGGAGTGGGGGGCCGCCCCTTTCGAAAATCCAAGTGATGGGGAAAGCTTCCCCATTGGTGGCAGGCTGGCCCTCTTTGCACACAGATGGCAAGCCACCACCACAGACCTTTGGGTACTAAACACTCTCAGATTCGGCCTCACTGGAATTCACCTGCAAGCCCCCGAACCATTTCGTCCCTTGCCCATCATCCAAGGATCCGATCAAGAGGGGCCTCATCAAGGAGGCCATCCAGCATCTCCTGGACATTCAGGCTATAGAACCGGTACCAACGGGGCAACAGGGACAGAGATTCTATTCCATCTTATTCATAGTTCCAAAGAGTTTGGGGGGATGGAGAGCAATTCTAGACCTAAAAAGTCTGAACAATCACTTGGCATACAGAAAATTCAAAATGCAGACTCTCCAGTCCATATTAGCCGGCATCAGAAGGGGAGACCTCCTGACATCCATAGATCTGACGGAGGCTTACCTTCACATCCCCATACTTCCCGAGCATCGGAAGTTTTTCAGGTTCTATTACACAGGCCAACATCTTCAATACAGGGCTCTATCCTTTGGACTGCCATCGGCCCCCAGAGTGTTCATAAAGGTACTGGCAGCACTTGCTGCACATTTACGAACCATCCCCGTGCGTATCCAGTGCTACCTGGACGACATTCTCATACAATCCTCATCAGTATAGGTGGCACAGTCAGAATTGTCATTGACCCTAAGAACCCTTCAAGACCACGGGTTCTCAGTAAATTTCCAGAAGAGTCAGTCAGTTCCGTCAATTCGCCTTCTTCATCTGGGAGCCGTGATAGACACACTGAAGTGTGAGGTCTACCTATCTCAAGAGTGTCGAACCAGCATTCGAGGCCTGGTCAGTCAGATTCAAAAGAAACAGACCACCACATTGGTCATACTCTCCCACTTTCTGGGAAAGATGATCTTATGCATAGCAATCGTGCCCTGGGCACGACTACATTCCAGAAGCCTGCAATGGTTCCTGCTCCCGTTTCAGAAAATAGGAATCAGCCCCTCCAACCAGAAGGTAAGGGTCCCACCACAGGACCTGAAGTCTCTCCAATGGTGGTCATCCCCAGCGGTGGGAAAGGGATACATGTTCAAGGAACCCACCCGAGTCATTCTGACCACGGATGCCAGCCTATTCGGTTGGGGAGCACACCTACAATCACAGCTGGCACAGGGCTAATGGTCTAAAGCAGATCTGAGACACAACATAAACTGGCTAGAGCTCAGCCATACACCTGACCCTTCGCCACTTCCACAACTCAGTGGCGGATCAGCACGTCCTAGTTCTCACGGACAATGTGGCGGCAAAGGCCCATATCAACCGACGGGGGTACACGATCCAGATCTCTCATGGCCGAGGCTCAATCGACGGGAATCTGGGCAGAGAACAACCTTGTCTCCCTCAGGGCCGAACACATATCAGGAGAGACAAATCAACAGGCGGACTTCCTGAGCAGGGCAACAGTAGACCACTCAGAGTAGAGCCTGCATCCAGTTCTCTTCAGAGAGGCATCAGAGAAGTTCGGCCATCCAGTACTGGACTTATTCGCCAGTTCCAAGAATGCCCAGCTCCCGAGGTTTTTCTCCTGCTTCCCGTCACCAGGGGCAGAGAGAGCAGATGCGCTCCGGGGGCCTTGGCCCAGGGGGCTGCTATATGCCTTTCCCTCGCTTCCTCTGATGCAAGCAACCATCAGAAAAATATTGCAGGAACAAGCAGAGTTGATACTTATTGCTCCACACTGGCCCAGACAGCTGTGGTTTGCCGACCTCGTGAGTCTTTCAGTATTTCCTCCGGGGAGGATTCCACATGACCGAATCTCCCTCAGCCAGGGGGCCTTACAACACCCAGAGCCACAGTGGCGCCAACTAACTGCCTGGCACTTGAACGGAGCCTCCTAATAGGGGAGTCTTATTCCCCAGACGTCATTACCACGATCCAGGCCTCAAGAAGGCCTACAACTAACAGAATTTATGACTCCACGTGGAGAAATTACTGTAGCTGCTGCGCTAGACAGCATTTAGATCCTTCTAGAATTACTATTCCAAGGATCTTAGACTACTTGTGGGAGGGGCTTAAGAAGAGTTTAGCACCCAACACAATTCGCAGACAGGTGGCCGCCCTGTCCACTATCCTCAGGTATGACAACTCTGAACCACTGGCCAGACACCCCATAGTGTGTTCCTTCATTAAAGGCACAACAAACAACAGACCACCCGTGGTCCACAGATATCCCTCCTGGGTTCTATTCAAGGTCCTACAGACCATCACCTCATCCCCATTTGAGCCTATCTGGACCTGCACCTTACAGTACCTGACACTTAAGGTCACATTTCTGGTCGCCGTAACTTCGGCCAGACACATCTCAGAGTTGGCAGCACTATCAGTTAGGGAGGACCTCTGCATCTTCCACGCAGATAGGGTGATCCTACGACTGAATCCATCCTTCATTCCAAAGGTCAATTCCTTGTTCCACAGGATGGAAGAGGTGGTGCTACCAGATTTTTCTCCTCAGCCTTCCCATGAATTGGAAAGCAAATGGCATACTTTAGACCAGTGGTTCTCAACCTTTTTAATGCCGCGACCCCCAACTGGTCATAAGTTGAGGACTACTCAATCGGTCGTAAGTCAAGGACTACTCAACTGGTGCAGCACCGTTTGCAGAATGG